GCACAATCAGACAGGTTGCCACCAACACAGGCCGCATTGCAGCAGGCAATCCTGAGAGCCCATTACCAGTTGATGGTCTGGAACAGCGACAGAATAACAAACCCAGAGCTACCATCATTGCAGCACTATGGATGGTGGATGGACCAAGAACAATGGGTAACTGTCATGACAAACATGCCACCAGCCCCTTAAGCGATACTTCAACTAGTACAGTGTGGATGCTCCAAAAAAGGTGTTCCACTAACGTTGCCAGTGCCGCAAGGCTGGTTTAAACTGCAAAAACTTTTGCAACTGCTCCGACAATGTTCAGGACGAAGACGTACTCGACTCATATGAAGAGGACAGTTCAGATAGTAAAATGTATATACATGAGTGAACCACATGAACAATCACTAACAGTTTTTATAACTGATAACCATGCTAAGATATCTTTTGGGGAGGTTAAAGTAGATTTTGATATGCTTCTAAAACTCCTGTGAAAAGTGATTCAAAAATGGCAGGGAAAGTTTATCTGATCCATTGGTTTTGCTAAATTGTCCTACTGTTGTGAAGAAAAAACTAGATGACAGACTTGCTCAAATAAACGAGTGCAAATTACAGAATCTGTTTTTATTTTGATCAAACTGGTTACCTGCCCAATATTTGTCACATTAATATCTCTAAAGCAATTCATAAAACGTAATTATTTTCTAAAACTTTTTCATTGTGGTAAAATAACAAAGGCAACATTTATTATGATGTGCTTTTGTATCAGCCTCGATTTCATGCCAGCGTGGTCACGTGATAACCCTTACCAAATAATCACATTTGATTGCACAGATGATATTCACCTGCATGACTTTTGTCAATCTCTGCCTTCATCAGGTGAAGTTTAAGGGCTACCAGTGCAACTTTTGAGTGAGCCTCGTTTTCGTGCTAACTTGGTCACGTGACCCCAATAACCTCTTAAAATCGTATGTTCGTATTGGAAACATTGATTTGTACAAATGTGTTGTTTTTGATAAAATTTTACTGAAATAATGGAAAGCTATGGACAATTTTATGCTTGCGCCTCGTTTCCATGCTGGGATATACACATGACATTTTCCACCCCATATAAATCCCGTCTGAGCAAGTTACAAAGTTGCCACCAAAACTTTTCATGTTATTTAGGGTCCCCTTAACACATTTAGACTAGAGGCTTGCTTTCTTCACGAAATTTCCACGGCATTACACATGCTCCCGGACTATAGTGGGCTATAACATATAGCCTAGTAGTAGCATTGATAGTAGACCACTAGTTGGATTTTACTAAATACAATTATTAAAAACTGAATAATTGGATAATGCAATTCTAGCATTTTGATTGGCTTAGCCGTTATGGTATATGAGCTAATATACCATGTTCTCCATATATGGTCGGTGTACGCGTCAGTTTAAAATTGGAAGCTAGCTGAGATTTTTTTTCGCGAAGGACAGAACGGCGCCCGAAGCAAATCGTTTTAATTCATTTCTTAGAATACTAGAAATGCAATTTCAACGAAAGAAAAAAGACAAAAACAAACAAAAAAGCCACAAGAGCTTGTTTGAAAGTTTGTCGAAAAACACATGAAAACACATGGAACTAAAGTACCTTGACCAGCTACGAAAGAGGACAAGTGTTGTTTCTTCATGATCGCGAAGCCATTCTCCGATCGAGTCACTCGCCGATCGATAACTGCAGCTTGTTTATGCGACATCAAGAATATAAATCACAAGTAACCAGCTAAAAATACAGGCTATGCAGCCATTCACTAGAGCAATCGAGGCGGCAGTATAGCTTCTTTTCTCGTTCAGCAAAACCAGCTTGTGGCTTCAAACAACTTCATAACAAGCGACCGAGGTAATACCGGTAGTTTTTCTCCGTTGTTCTTTAACTTTTATAACTGCACCGAAAATCCAAATTCGTAGTAATTTCGACGGCTGTCACCTAAAAATTCCTTTCCTTCACATTATCTGCCAGGTTTTTTAAGCTGTTCTGCTGTGTAAAATCCTAGAATCACGATGAGTTTTTCAAAAACTAATGTTCATCGCTACAATGTTTTGATTTTTCATTCATGCAGTCTAGGCGAGTCCGTTCGCGCGTTGACAGTTTTGATAGACGTGTGACATGTGAATAGCGGAAGTCCCTTGTCTTTTCCGGTTTGTTCTAGTCGGGGCGATTCAACGACATTTTGTGGGCGTTTTTAATAAAACAATTATTCCACTCGGGCTTGTTGGATATGAAATGATTATAGCCAACTCGGCGCTATGCACCTCGTTGGCTATCTATCATCTCATATCCAACGCACCCTCGTGGAATAATTGTTAAATAGCTCACAAGCAAGACTAGAGAAAAAGAGTAAAACATTTTAAATAAATAAAGATAAATAAATTCAATTCAGTTGAGTTTACAGTCCTGTATATTGCAAATATGAGAGGCCGAGTTTTCCAGAAATTTTTCCGTTATTACAAGTAAGTCCGGTAAATCAATATAATCGTTTTCTTCTGAAAGTATTCGGAGTAAACTGTTGTGGACATTGATTTTAAAGTTATTTTTGGACATTTGAGGCATTCCACCCGGTAGACTATTCCAGATTCTTACACCATATCTTGAAAAAGACTTAGTTTGTTTGTCTAATCTTGAGTGTCGTTTAACATAACGATAATCACCTCTTGAAGATGATCTTGTATTAAATGAATAAATATTAGATTGGGAAGCAAATAAGTTAGATATGTTTGTAGTTTTTCAGCTGTTAGATATATCATGGATTAGAATAGCAACGGATTTAAAGTAGAGTAGATCTAAAGGAAGAAAGCTAGAGGAGACAGGTGCTCCATGAGAATTGTAGTCACCGAAGAACATGAGGCGGAGAGAACGTTTTTGAAGAATAAGAATATTGTTTTTGCAAAAAAAAATAGTGCTTATTAAGAACATAAATTTCGATTGCCGACCCTACCTTTGCAGACAGATGCAAGGTTAGCTAAAAAAAAACACTCAAAATAATCCCTGCAGCTGTGAATAACCCTTACCTAAACGAAATTTAATCATGTCATGCAAATGTCACAATAGACTGACTTCCACTTTAAGTCAGGAATACGACAAGGACAAATGAAATTTATTAAAATAATAGAAAATGTGCTCGCTACCAATCAAAACGGAAACCTATGACAACAATTATCGTAATTGTGATTTAGAGTAAACCCTGTGAAAAGACCGCTTTTGTGAGAATTGAATAAAGAGGGACTAGCTTTTACTCTGAAGCTTAACTGACCCTTAAGAAGATAAACTGGAAATTTCACCGAAAAATTATCTTAAAAAATGCATCCCTGTATTTGTAAGACATGCATTTCTAGTGATTTTGACATATTAAGTAATTCTGATCATTTTTGTTGTTGTTGTTGTTAATAACGAAGATACTTAGATTTTATTGAGCGCGTTAATTATTCCTGAAACGCAATTTAATAGATGGGGATAATTTTGGAAAAAAAAAGCCAAACAAACAAACTGCATGGCAAAGATGTTACCTCAACGAGTTCTACACTTAAAGTGATTGCTTTACATGGAGCCATTAAAGTCTTTAAGTAACATCCATGACGCTTATTCGTTGAGAAACTAAAATCAATTTGTCGCCAGTTGCCTTTAAGGACATGCCGAGCAAAGAGTTTGTTTACAATTTTTTTTTGATTCATTATCACAAAGGAAAAACCTACTCTAAACACTGAAGCAGGCTCTAAGAGCGCGAGACATTTTATTTAATTGTATTTCTTTCTTTCCCCATTTTGCTTGTCAATGAATTTAATTTAACTGAACCTTTTTTTCCCTTTTCTGTACATATATCTGCACTCATTTTCTTCTCACTGAACAGGATGAAGTCTTCGAAACGTCATCTAACGTCTTAATCGTTATTGTTTCGTTTAATTATGTATATATATATTTTTCACATTTATCTAAATTTTCCCATCAAATTAAAAGTTCGTTTGTTTTGAAAAGCAAAATTCAGTGTGGAATTTCGTAGCTGATAATAAAAATATTTGCTCAGCTATGAAGAATACAATCGGCAAGAAAATTAGCTAACATGCTTTCTCTAATTCTCAAGAATGAAAACAGTTTTCGCTAGATCGAAAACTCATCAAGTTAAATCCAAGTTATTCTTTGCTTAATCATGTTTGATGTTTTTAATTTTTGCTGGAATTGCAAACCGTTTATGGTTTATCCGATATACATTTTTCGTACAATCAATACTTTCCACTTTCCTTACAGCTGGCTTTCTTAATTACCTGTGGTAGAGAAAGTTTTTAAAAACGTGACTGATGAAAGTAACAAGTTGAAGCTGTCTTGAATATGAATCTTGAAAAAAGCAAGGAGGAAAAACTTGACATAAGGAGCGGAAACGTGAGTAAAGAGTCCGTGCTAGATGGCAAAAATACAAATGTCGCGGCATTGCGATATATTTTGCAGTAGTCGTTAGCAAAAACGATTATTATAGAGTTGTAACCGCAAAGAAAAAAGTAGAAAATGGAAATCATATTCATTCATGAGCCTTAAAATATGAACTGTCTAAATGTTCACTCTGGGTTTTAGGCAAGCAGTTTCAGTGCAAACCTTTGGAAAATTCATATATGACATGAACTTTTAGGACCTCTTATCACTGTATCTTATTTTATTTTATATAAAAATTATACATTTTTCACAGAGAAAGACAACACCCAATTCTTTCGCCATTACTTCCTCAATTTTTAAGACGAAGAGATGCCAATCTGATTTGGACGGCAGTGGATATTTTGACATCACGAATTATAAGAACAAGTGGATCTACAACTCAGTATCTAACTAAGGTATCTTCGCTTCACTTATGTTGAAGGAAAGCTATGAGTCTTTTCCTAAACTTATACAGGAAATGATTCACGAAAAAAATGTTGACGTTGAGATGAATCACTTCATCCAAAGTTTTTTCAATTACCGCTGTGGCATGGGGGTCACAAATATTCCTTCGCTGAAA